GATTTAAACTATTTTAAATATTTTAAATATTTAAATTATTTGAAATTTTAAATCGGCCCCAGCTCCAGAAATCAGGACCCGGGGATTTAAAATATGTAAACTAGTTAGAATATTTGGGCCCCAAATCAGCTTAAGTATTTTAAATATTTTAAATCGGGGGCCCGGGGATTTAAAATATTTAAAATATTTATATTGTTTGAAATTTTGAATCGGCCCCAGCTCCAGAAATCAGGACCCGGGGATTTAAAACATTTAAAATATCTAAAATATTTAGGCCCCAAATCAGATTAAATATTTTAAGTATTTTAAATCGGGGACCCGGGGATTTAAAATATTTAAAATATTTAACATATGTAGGCCTCAAATCAGCTTAAATATTATATATATTTTAAATCCCGGGAACCCAGGAACTGAGCCCGATTTAAAATTTTAAGTATTTTAAATATTTCAAATATTTTAAATCGGGTCCCGGGGATTTAAATTATCGAAAAATATTTAAAATATTTAGGCCCCAAATCAGCTTACATATTTTCAATATTTCAAATCCCGGGAACCCAGGATCTGAGCCCGATTTAAAATTTGAAATATTTTAATTATTTTAAGTATTTTAAATATTTTAAATCGGGGCCCGGGGATTTAAAAATAGTTAGAATATTTATAATATTTTGGCCCCAAATCAGCTTAAACATTTTGAATATTTTAAATCGGGGCCCGGGGATTTAAAATATTTAAAATATTAAAAATATTTAGGCCCCAAATCAGTTTAAATATGTTAAATATTTTAAATCGGGGGCCCGGGGATTTAACATATTTAAACTATTTAAAATATTTAAATTATCTAAATTCTTAAATCGGCCCCAGCTCCAGAAATCAGGGCCCGGGGATTTAAAATATTTAAAAGATTGAAATTTTTTTGGCCCCACATCAGCTTAAATATTTTAAATATTTTAAATCGGAGCCCGGGGATTTAATATATTTAACATATTTAACATATTTAGGCCCCAAATCAATTAAAATATTTTAAATATTTTAAATCGGGGGCCCGTGGATTTAGAATATTTAAAATATTTAAAATATTTAAATTATTTAAATTCTTAAATCGGCCCCAGTTCCAGACATCAGGACCCGGGGATTTAACAAATGTAAAATATTTAGAAGATTTAGGCCCCAAATCAGCTTAAATATTTTACATATTTTAAATCGGGGGCCCGGTGATTTAAATTATTTAACAAATTTAAAATATTTGGGCCCCAAATCAGTTTAAATATGTCAATTATTTTTATATCGGGGCCCGGGGATTTAATATATTTAACATATTTAACATATTTAGGCCCCAAATCAGTTAAAATATTTTAAATATTTTAAATCGGGGGCCCGGGGATTTAGAATATTTACAATATTTAAAATATTTAAATTATTTAAATTCTTAAATCGGCCCCAGCTCCAGAAATCAGGACCCGGGGATTTAACATATTTAAACTATTTAAAATATTTAGGCCCCAAATCAGTTTAAATAGTTTAAATATTTTAAATCGGGGGCCCGGGGATTTAAACTATTTTAAATATTTTAAATATTTAAATTATTTGAAATTTTAAATCGGCCCCAGCTCCAGAAATCAGGACCCGGGGATTTAAAATATGTAAACTAGTTAGAATATTTGGGCCCCAAATCAGCTTAAGTATTTTAAATATTTTAAATCGGGGGCCCGGGGATTTAAAATATTTAAAATATTTAAAATATTTATATTATTTGAAATTTTGAATTGGCCCCAGCTCCAGAAATCAGGACCCGGGGATTTAAAACATTTAACATATCTAAAACATTTAGGCCCCAAATCAGATTAACTATTTTAAGTATTTTAAATCGGGGACCCGGGGATTTAAAATATATATAATATTTAACATATGTAGGCCTCAAATCAGCTTAAATATTATATATATTTTAAATCCCGGGAATCCAGGATCTGAGCCCGATTTAAAATTGTAAGTATTTTAAATATTTCAAATATTTTAAATCGGGTCCCGGGGATTTAAATTATCGAAAAATATTTAAAATATTTAGGCCCCAAATCAGCTTACATATTTTCAATATTTCAAATCCCGGGAACCCAGGATCTGAGCCCGATTTAAAGTTTGAAATATTTTAATTATTTTAAGTATTTTAAATATTTTAAATCGGGGCCCGGGGATTTAAAAATATTTAGAATATTTAAAATATTTTGGCCCCAAATCAGCTTAAATATTTTGAATATTTTAAATCGGGGCCCGGGGATTTACAATATTTAAAATATTAAAAATATTTAGGCCCCAAATCAGTTTAAATATGTTAAATATTTTAAATCGGGGGCCCGGGGATTTAAAATATTTAAACTATTTAAAATATTTAAATTATCTAAATTCTTAAATCGGCCCCAGCTCCAGAAATCAGGGCCCGGGGATTTAAAATATTTAAAAGATTTAAAATATTTTGGCCCCACATCAGCTTAAATATTTTAAATATTTTAAATCGGAGCCCGGGGATTTAATATATTTAACATATTTAACATATTTAGGCCCCAAATCAGCTTAAATATTTTAAATATTTTAAATCGGAGCCCGGGGATTTAATATATTTAACATATTTAACATATTTAGGCCCCAAATCAGTTAAAGTATTTTAAATATTTTAAATCGGGGGCCCGGGGATTTAGAATATTTAAAATATTTAAAATATTTAAATTATTTAAATTCTTAAATCGGCCCCAGCTCCAGAAATCAGGACCCGGGGATTTAACATATGTAAAATATTTAGAAGATTTAGGCCCCAAATCAGCTTAAATATTTTAAATATTTTAAATCGGGGGCCCGGTGATTTAAATTATTTAACATATTTAAAATATTTTGGCCCCAAATCAGTTTAAATATTTCAATTATTTAAATCGGGGGCCCGGGGATTTAAAATATTTAAAATGTTTAAAATATTTAAAATTTTAATTCGGCCCCAGCTCCAGAAATCAGGACCCGGGGATTTACAATAAAGCTTAAATATTTGAAATATTTTACATCAGGGACCCGGGGATTTAAAATATTTAAAATATTTAAAATTCTAAATCGGCCCCAGCTCCAGAAATCAGGACCCGGGGATTTAAAATATTTAAAATATTTAAAAGATTTATTTAAGCAGCATTGGGCCTGAAATTGTGCTAAATATGCAGGAAAGGGTCCCGCGACACATTATACATACTCTACCCTCTTACGACTTCCCCCCCCCCCCCCGCCGCTATGCTTTTCACAATCCATGATTGTTGGAAGCGTGCAGAATCCCGAGGGTGTTATGGAAACATGAAGTAGGTGCTGTTGCAGTCGCTCACCATTTTTCGCGGGGAGTGCAAGGACGTGACTGGTCACTGGCGCCGCGAGGCTCCAGGTGCGGATGACGGACGCCAGCTTCAACGCGTTCTTTTCTGACAGCTTCGGGGTGACGTGGTGCGGGGGTGAGAGTGAGCGCTTGCCGGCTTGCCCATGGTGTTCGGGGCTTAGCGGTTTAACAGGGGCTGCGAGCGAGCGCAGTACTTTTCGCACTTCTTTACGCCTGCACTTGCAGAGTGAAAGAAAATGGATCTGGGGGTGGCCAATCCAGACGAAAGGTGTGCCCTGACGTTGGGTCCTGGACACGGAAATCCAAATCCGAACGGCCATTGCTGACATGATTGAAGAGGAAAGCGAAGTCTCAAATCGAGGAATAGCAGTGCCAACCAAACAACCGAACAATCAACCAAAACGAAAATTTGCAAACAAGCAAGCAAGCAATCAGGCAGAGGAAGAGGCAGAGGCAGAGGGCAGGCAGGCAGGCAGGCAAGCAGGCAGGCAGGCGGGCAGGCAAGCAGGCAGGCAGGCAGGCAGGCAGGCAGGAAGGCAGGCAGGCAGGCAGGCAGGCAGGGCAGGCAGGGCAGGCAGGGCAGGCAGGGCAGGCAGGGCAGGCAGGGCAGGCAGGGCAGGCAGGGCAGGCAGGGCCGGCAGGGCAGGCAGGGCAGGCAGGGCAGGCAGGGCAGGCAGGGCAGGCAGCAGGCAGGCAGGCAGCAGGCAGGGCAGGCAGGCAGGCAGGCAGGCAAGCAGGCAAGCAGGCAAGCAGGCAGGCAGGCAGGCAGGCAGGCAGGCAGGCAGGCAGGCAAGCAGGCAAGCAGGCAAGCAGGCAGGCAAGCAGGCAGGCAGGCAGGCAGGCAGGCAGGCAGGCAGGCAGGCAGGCAAGCAAGCAAGCAAGCAAGCAAGCAAGCAAGAAAGCAAGCAAGCAAGCAAGCAAGCAAGCAAGCAAGCAAGCAAGCAAGCAAGCAAGCAAGCAAGCAAGCAAGCAAGCGCGCGCAAGCGCGCAAGCGCGCAAGCCCGCAAGCGCGCAAGCGCGCAAGCACGCAAGCGCGCAAGCACGCACGCACGCACGCACGCACGCACGCAAGCAAGCAAGCAAGCAAGCAAGCAAGCAAGCGAACGAGCAAGCGAGCAGGCGCAAGCAGGCGCAAGCAAGCGCAAGCAAGCGCAAGCAAGCGCAAGCAAGCGCAAGCAAGAAAGCGCAAGAGACCCAAGCAAGCACTAGCAAGCCCAAGCAAGCGCCAGCAAGCGCAGGCAAGCGCAGGCAAGCGCGCAAGCAAACGCAAGCGCACGCAAACAAGCACAGGCAAGCACAGGCAAGCACAAGCAAGCACAAGCAAGCGCAAGCAAGCGCAAGCAAGCGCAAGCAAGCACAAGCGCAAGCAAAGCGCAAGCAAAGCGCAAGCAAGCGCAAGCGAGCGCAAGCAAGCGCAAGCAAGCGCAAGTAAGCGCAAGCAAGCGCAAGCACGCGCAAGCAAGCGCAAGCAAGAGCAAGCAAGCAGAAGCAAGCGCAAGCAAGCAAGCAAGCAAGCAAGCAAGCAAGCAAGCAAGCAAGCAAGCAAGCAAGCAAGCAAGCAAGCAAGCAAGCAAGCAAGCAAGCAAGCAAGCAAGCAAGCAAGCAAGCAAGCAAGCAAGCAAGCAAGCAAGCAAGCAAGCAAGCGAGCAAGCAAGCAAGCAAGCAAGCGCACACGCACCGTGCGTGTACGTAATGCTAGTGGTGGAAAGCGCACCTGTAATTTCAACGTGCAAGGGGCCTTTTGGCAAGCAGCCGCAAGCATGTGTGTGTAGAAAGGGTGGGCTGCAAAGAATGTGGGAAACAGAAAGTGCAGCATGCTGGACCACTGGAAGCTTTCGTGGGGCAACGCAGGTGGGTGCCAGCATGGCAAGAGACACTTGTTGAATCGTTCTGGCAGCAGCTTTGACGGGCCGGAAGCCAATTCGTTGGGCAGGTCTAATTCAGGCCTGTTTCACCACACTTGCGGGGCCTGGCACAACAAGGCTGGCGTGCAGCTCAGCCGCAAACTTGAGTCTGGTCAGTTCGCTTGCCTGGTTGTCTTAGCCCCCGAACAAGGTGGCGCGCCTGAAGGCTGGGCTTTGGTTGCAGGCATGGGGTTCCATTGGTTTCACTTTGGCTGCCCCATCGCTTTTTCAGGCGCAAGGGAAGGGGCGTGGCGCGCTTGCCCCATTGGCAGCCGCCCAGTAAACAAGTGCCTAGTTGACCGGCCTTGAAACGAGAGTGGGGGGCTTGAACCAGGTGTTATTGGTGAAAGAAACTAGATCTTTTTGGCGCGGAAAATCGCATCTTAGGGGCCCTATTTTGACACACACACACACACCCATGTAGATACCCCCAACCTAAATTGCGGGAGTCGTTTTTCCCCAACTCTTTGGTTGCGCAACGACCCCTGAGCTTCTAAGGAGTCGGTCAAATATAGAACCTTTGGGCCTGTTGGCTCCACTACATGTACTTCCCCCTCCCCGGCCGGTTGCGAAAATGTGCTTTCGCTGTGTTCGATGCCAAGGAACTGCGGGTATGGGTGGGACTCCGCCTGCAAGCTGCAAGTGCTCCACGGGTCTGGCATAGCGTACCAGGTCCAGAGTCTCAGCACGAGAGTGATGTTAAGGCACATGCTGCGCTTCTTGTCAGTTGTGCATGCTGTGCACTACCGCAGGCTTGAGCTCATCTTTCACTACATGCGAGCCCGTAGCAAAACAGGTGAGGAAAGCAGATTACAGGTTTGACTGTTTGTGATATCGACACTACAGCGCTTGCGCTTGTGGAAATTGACAGTTTGATTTTTACGTGGTAGCGGAGCACTACGGGAGCAGACGATCGGCCAGCAGCAGACACAGTAGGAGCCACGACTACGGCAACAAGAGGAGTGCAGGCGCAAGACAACAACTACACAAATACAAGCTGCCAGCACTGTTCTTCAATGTGAATGGCTATTCAAACTACCACTTGTGGAGAAGCAGTTCCACAATTCTACACCGTGACCAGCAAGAAGATCCATGTCTACGGCACCAAGCATGTTCCTTACAAGCAATGCAACTTCAGGATCATGACGCTGTGAAGCATCCTCGCCTCAGTACATCAAGACCACTTGATAGAGGATATGGACTCGACTTCAACCCACGACACTGCACCATCACACACGGACAAGCAGGCACACTTTCTCAGGCTTTGTGGGCTCGGATGGCATAGCCACCATCCAGTTTCCAGTGCGTTTACCAAGAATTCGTCTGGAGTCCTTGGTCTGTGTGAGATTGAGAATCTCGATGTCTGTAGTCATTGGGTAGATGTCGTGTCCTGTAGGTGCGTCGATCTGTTCTGCTCGTAGATAGAAAATTCACCTCACACAACAGCGGTTGCTCAACACAAGAACAACTAGATGATTTGCGACTAACCATCATCAACAAACAAGAGCAAGAACAAGAGCAACGCAAGAGAACGCCAAAAAGTCCAAATTTAAGAACTACAACGAAGACTTGAAGGTGATGACTGGGCTGGAGAAACCAGATTTCGAGGACAAGTCGCACCTACACGCCGGGTGACAACACAGACTACACCGCCACAACTAAGCTCTTCACCACACACCGCAATAGAAACACCGCCAACAAGACTAAAGCCACAACTACGGACTCCACAAAACATATGAGACCCACGGCAGCACCTTCCACAGACCTAGACACTACACACCCAAAAGCAGCAACACATAGACCACCAACGCCACAAGAAGACAACCAAGACTACTGGGAAAGACAAGGTGAACACTGGATAAGACACCACACACACTACGAACTACAATGTTCACACCCACCGATGGACCAGGACAGCCACCCGCCAACACCTTGAACCTCAACGAACTACAATCGCCAACAACAGCTACGGCGAAGTGTCGCAGCGCAAAGACGACTGGACCGTCTTTGGAAACGCAGCGCTACTATTGCAATGGAAAGGCGGCAAGGCTCACCATCAAGAAAGACTATGCGTATCTACAAGAGGACTACGATGAGGAAAAACGCAACGAACACCACGAAAAGCTCAACAAACAGTTCCACAACAAACAGCGGAACACAACCTAACACATCTACCATACTGAAATTGGCACCAATTTGCGTGCAAGGCAAAGGACTCCAAGACAGCCGCAAGAAGCAGCAATCACGACAAGCCATCATTCACGTAGATTTTGCATACATCAAATCACAACAGGATCGGCGGTATTGGTTCCGGACAAGCCATCAATGATGGACTACATGACCGACCACCGACAAGCAAGCATTCATCTTCGCATGCGGAAGAACGCGGGGCATACTACAAAGCGACAGCGAAGACACCCTTAATACACTACTCAAACAGCATCCACAGCAGCAACAGTCAAGAAGCATTGAGCGACTACACAGAACATTTCTTAGACAAACGTGCGTCGTCAAGGTACACGTTGAAAGCAACTACAGCATGATGTCAACAAAGGACTGTCTACTACCTTGGATAGTACGGCATGCAGCATTGACAATCAATCGCTACGTTGTCCACTCGGACGGCTACACAAGCTTCGAGCGCCGCTGGGGAAGAAACTACGACGGCGCAATGTGCGAATTCGACGAACCTTCAACCACAACATGAGACACTTCCGAAAGCAGGGCTCCGAATGCAGAAATGCATCTGGCTCGGAAAGGTTTCCGAAACAGGAGAAGACAGAACAAGGTGTAGCAAAAGCAAGAACAATACGACCACTCGGCCAGACTTCCAGTACGGCTATTAAACAAGGTCACTGGCGCATCTTGGGCACCGCGAGGCAGAATTTACAACCCGTATTTTGCGACACTACTAGATACGCAACTTCAATCGTCGAAACAAAAGAGACGAACTACACACAAGCCGCCGGACAACAAACCAACGTCGTAGACGATATAGTCGCAGAACCCGCAACGAGAAACAATGCGCTATGTCACCTCCAAGATAGTCCTATAGCTACCTCACCGGCCGGACGGCGACGCCCACCTACCAGCACCACCACTTCGACAAGCGCTACGACTTATGACTCCGGAAGAAGTAGTGCAACCGGCCAAACCGCAGAAAACCTCAAAACAGACTACGATCACATCAACGGAACAAACCAACAAACAACGACCAAGCATCAGTGCAGTAGCACTATCCAACTGAACCATCAGTAACTGCCGACACCCACGACGACACTTCAGAAGACCAACCCAGAATCTTCAATAACGCAACACAACTGTGAGAAGGAATGAAACACGAATCAAACCAAATGAAACTACACGATGTCTATGACGAGGTAGATAGGTGTACACTCAATGACGACATCGTCAGAGAAGTAACGCCTACAGCAAGGGGGTGGCGATCCGGAGGTTTTAAATTTTCGTGATTCGGGACTTGAGCAGGTTTTGGGATTAAGTCACATTTTCGGGATTCGGGATGCAGGAGTCGAATCACGTTCTCCAGATTTTCGGGGCTCGAGATTCGGGATCCGAATCACAACCAGGCTCGGGATTCGGGATTCGAATCACATTTTCGGGATTCGGTCGAATCACATTTTCAGGATTCGCGATTCGGGATTCGGGGTTGGAGATTCGAATCACATGTTCAAAGCATAAGATTCGGGATTCGGATTCCGGATTCGGGATTCGAGTCGCATTTTCAGGATTCGGGATTCGGGTGTCGAATGTTTTCGGGATTTGGGATTCGGGATTCGAATCACATTTTCGGGATTCGGGACTCGGGATTCGAATCACAGTTTCGGGATTCGTTCGGGATTCGAATCAAATTTTTGGGATTGGGGATTCGGGTTTCGAATCACATCTTCGGGATTCGGGTTTCGGGACTCGGGATTCGAATCACATTTTAGGGACTCGGGATTCGGGACTTGGGATTCGGGATTCAAATCACATTTTCCAGATTCGGCATTGATTCGAATTGCATTTTCCATTTTTAAGATTCGGGATTTGGGATTCGGGATTCGAGAATCGAATCACATTTTCCAGATTTGGCATTCGGGATTCGGGGCTCGAGATTCGGGATTTGAGTCACAGTTTTGGGGATTCGGGATTCGATCACATTTCAGGATTCGAAATTTAAAATCGGGATTCGGGGTTTGAATTTCTTGTTCGGGATTCGGGATTGGTATTCAGGATTTGAATCGCATTTTGTAAATAAGATTCGGGATTTGGGATTCAGAATTCAGTATTCGAATCACATTTTCCAAGTAAAGGATTCGGGATTCGGGAATTGAATCACATTTTCCAGATTTGGCATTCAGGATTCGATTCACATTTCGGGATTCGGGATTCGGGATTTGGGGTTCGGGAGTCGGGAACCGAATCGCATTTGCCAATTATATAGGATCACATTTCCCAAACATCTGATTCGGGATTCGGGATATATCCGGCCCAGCCAGCGCGGGAGCAAACAAGTGGGGGGACAAATGGAAGCAAGTGCGCGACGGCATCCAGACAGTGAGAAAGCAAGTGGGGAGACGACAAGTGGAAGCGAGGAGGGAGAAAAGCAGGCCAGCAAGCGCATGAGAGAGCAAGTCGGGAGACAAATGAAAATAAGTGGGGAGACAAAGGGCTGACCGAGCCAGATGACCGCATCATGAACTGTTTGGGGAATGAACGAGGAAAGCAAGAAGTAACTAAGCAAGTCAAGAAAAATATTTGAATTCTTCTGGAAAGAGGACGTGGGGCTCAATTCTCGGTCCTTCCTTCGGATCGAGATCTGAGGAGCGCGGAGCTGGAGTTCGCCACAGACGACCCGAGCCAGGCCCGGGCCTTCCGCGGGCGCATGGACGTGCCTGCGACCTACTCGGGCACTGCGACGGCCAACAGCTGGTCCACCTTCAACAGCAGGCCGATCGGATTGGCATGGGGACCAGTGTGGTTTTTTCGTCCTTTTCTCTGGTTTTGGACCTGACGTCGTTTTTTGGAGTGGTCAATTGGCTGTAGGGTTTTGGACGGAAAACAGGTGTTCCCTTTTCATCAGGTGACACCTCTTTGGCTTGCAGTTCTGACGGCCTTGAAATGAAAGCCCGAAACAGGGTTTTCTTGATGGCTTACGGCTTGCAGGGCTCTACCCGAAAAGCCAGACTTCCCCTAGCCTTTGTGAACTTTTGGTTTTCCTCGTCCGTTTGGAATTTACCCACCACCTTGTTGGTTGACATGTGGGATACAGGTTTCCTTTGGATGGGAGTGTTCCCCAGGACATGTAAGGAACCCAGGCAAAATAGGGGACACCTTTTGCGGAGCAACTTCGTCTGAACCCCCACAAAACTGCAGTCCTGTCCTTTTGTTTGGATTTGGGTTTTCAAGAGAACCAGCCTGGGGCGAATGCGTTGTGGTTTGTAGTGGAACAACTTCTGTTGGTAACCTGAATTTCGCATGATGTGAGATCAGCGAGACAAAGCCGTTCAATCCCTGTGGCCTTATCATGCTGGATCGTCTGGGTGAATCATGGGCCTCTCAAAGAGCCCACGCCTTCCCCCAGTATGAAGACCCAATCACCTCTGGAAGTCCTTCAAGGCGTGTCCGAAACGGATCCCGAGGAGTTTCCTCTCTTTCGATTGGTTTCTGGGTTCTTTGCGTCTTGCCTTTCCTTCTTTCATTCCTTCCTTCCTTCCTTTCTTTCTTCTGTCTTTCTGTCTTTCTTTCTTTCTTTCTTTCTTTCTTTCTTTCTTTCTTTCCTTCTTTCCTTCTTTCTTTCTTCTTTCTTTCTTTCTTGTTTCTTTTTTTGATTGTTCCTTTCTTCTTGTTTTCTTTTCCTTTTCTTTTGTTTGCTTGGATTTCTCTCTTGTTCTTGTCTGCCTCTCTGGGTCCCCTTTGTTCTGCATCTTGGGGTTGCTGGCTGAGTTCCTCAAAACCTGGGTGTAGCTTTGGGGAGAGTCCCAACCAGAAATAGTCCCTTCTTCATTCTTTACACGGTTTTGGCTTGACCCGGTTTGATTGCGACTCTGGGTTCCACCCTTCGAGCCGGCCCGGGACACTGGGGTTGACCCCAAAGGGTTCCAATGGCTGACCTATTGGATGCGTGGGAAAAACATGTGTTGGTGCAGCTTTGTAGCTTTCCTCCGGGCAACCTCTAAAAACCTGCCAGAACCTTGCCCTGGGCTCTGGCTGAGGGCAACACCTTTCGGTTCTGAACCTTTACGACTTGGAAGAGAAGCATGGCGTCGACATTGGGATTTACCTGGTATCCCTTGAACGTATGGCTGCAGCCAGCCCACTGACTGCGCGCGTTTGGCCTTGATTTCGATAGGACAAGCTTCGGATTGGCCACCTGGGACTATCCGGATGCCAGCAAGGCCCGGGTGTGCGTGGCGCCTCGGTGCAATCGGATTTCTACCACGGCTTTGCAAGAGGGCGAGCCTTTCGTTTGCTTTGAACACAAGAACAAACGCCAGAGGGTTACAATCCTCTTGGTGTTGTGGCAAAGTAGGGTTTGGATCACCCTTTGGTTGAAAGTCCCAAGCTGGTTATGGAAGGATGTGACATCAGAGGTGAAGATGCCCAAGGCGACCCAAGGTTTCAACGTGTGGATTAGATCAAAGGGTAACCGCAGAGAAGATGAGAGGAAAGAAGGCGAATCAGCAGGGCAAGGAGCCAGAACGGGACCCAAGTAAAGGAAACACTCTAGGGCGCTATGAGCAACGATCACTATTCACACTCCTTCATTGTACACCAGCCCAATTTTCACTAAGGTAACAGGGTTCCCAAAACAACAACAATAACGACGATGACGACGACGACGACAACAGCAACAGTAACAGCAACAGCAGCAGCAGCAGCAGCAGCAGCAGCAGCAGCAGCAGCAGCAGCAGCAGCAGCAGCAGCAGCAGCAGCAGCAGCAGCAGCAGCAGCAGCAGCAGCAGCAACAGCAACAGCAACAACAAACATACAAACAAACCAACAAACAAACAAACAACCAACCAAGCAACCAAAAAAGCAAGTGAGTAAGCGAGCGAGCGAGCAAGCAAGCAAGCGAACAAACAAACAAACAAACAAACAAACAAACAACCAAGCACGCAAGCAAGAAAGCAAGCAAGCAAGCAAGCAAACAAACACACAAACACACAGACACACAGACACACAAACACGCAAACACACAAACAAGCAGGCACACAAACACACAAACAAACCAACAATCAAACAAACAAACATAGCCCCAGTGAACATCCCAATCCCCACTAAAATAGACGAACACGGGTGGTGCACCTTCCCCAAAATGGTACCATTGGTTTTGACCCCTCACCCAACATGCTCTCTCTGCAGTCCGGCATCTGTGCACACGAAGGTTCCTGAAGGCTTGTGGAACAGCATGGTTTCTTCAAGACCGTGCGCGGAGCGTAGTCCACCGTCAGCTGCAAATGATCAATGCCCGGCAATAATTTGCCACCAGACCCCACTTTTCAGCTGCCGATCCAGCGTGATTACGGCAAGTACGCGCCTTGTCATGTCATGGTGCAAGAGTGGAATCCTTGGGCACTTGCTGCAGCTTTGCGCTTCTGGAGAATCTTCCGAAGGGAACCTGCCCCACACTGCAACAACGTGGGTCGCACATGAAATATATAAAGCTGTCCAAGCGCGCGGCACAGCCCAATGAATGCGGTAGAGCATCGTAAGGTCCAAAACCAACTGGCCCACTGAATGTGGGCTGACCCAGACCTGCACTCCGCCCAAAATCAACGCACTAAATCAGGTCACATGCATCATGCAACAGCCTCAGCATCGGGAAAACGACTCGCCCATTGAGTACCAAACAAACAAACAAACAAGCAAACAAACAACCAAACAACCAAACAACCAAACAACCAACCAAACAAACAAAAACAAACAAGCGAGCAAGCAAGCAAGCAAACAAACAACCGACCAACCAACCAACCAGCCAAGCAAGCAAGCAAGCAAGCAAGCAATCAAGCAAGCAAGCAAGCAAGCAAGCAAGCCAACGAACCAACGAACCAACGAACCTTCGAACCTTCGAACCAACGAACCAACCAACCAACCAACCAACTAACCAACCAACCAACGAACAAACGATCCAACGAACGAACAAACCAACGAACCAACCAACCAACCAACTAACCAACCAACCAACAAACAAACAATCCAACGAACCAACGAACGAACGAACGAACGAACCAACGAACCAACGAACCAACGAACCAACGAACCAACGAACCAACGAACCAACCCAACCCGAACCAACGAACCAACCCAACCCAACCCAACCCAACCCAACCCAACCCAACCCAACCCAACCCAACCCAACCCAACCCAACCCAACCCAACCCAACCCAACCCAACCCAACGCAACCCAACCCAACCCAACCCAACCCAACCCAACCCAACCCAACCCAACCCAACCAACCAACCAACCACAACAACAACACAGCAACAACAGAACACAGCAACAAAATATCACAGCAACAGAGCAACACGGCAACACAGCAAGTAACACAGCAACAGAGCAACACAGCAACAAAGCAACAGAGTAACACAGCAACAGAGCAACACAGCAACACAGCAACACAGCAACAGAGCAACAGAGCAACTGAGCAACCGAGCAACAGAGCAACAGAGCAATAGGGCCGGGCGACACCATACTTTGTGACATCGCCCCTTTTTCGGGGGGTGGAAACTCAAGAAGCAATCAGGGTCGTAGCTGGGAAGAAAGGAGGAGGGGGTCATAGTTGTAACAAAGTTGTGAGATGGCTTGTTTAATGAGTGCACCGGGGAGGGGATTGAACCAACATCTCTACGCTTGTGAGATGCTAGTTGCCTGACCAACGGTTCAGAGAGTCTGATTCACTGGCCAGGCTGCTCGCCATCTTACTCGTATCAACTCTGATAATTTGAGGGTAGAGCTTTGATCGTAAGGCTCCTTAAGAGCATCATAATGATTCGGAGCCATGACCATGCAACATTTGTGCTGATGGAGTTTGAGCCGTGAAATGCGGTTTTCGAAATATGGCCCTTTTGATTGTTTCTTGGGTTGCCGACCCCCCAAAAAGGGCGTCCGACTGCTTGCAAGCTTTCTTGGGCTCCGCGCACGTGTGCGACAGGGTTTTTGCGGCTGGGACAGAAATAGCCAGTTTTGGCAGCTCCCAAGATAGAGCGCCCAGCTCCCAGGACAGAGCCATTTTTTTTTGATCAGAGCTGCTTGCTGGGAACGGCGAGGCACTTCTGTTCCGGTAGTTGCAAACCTTCTGGTCCGGGCTCCCATCATCGGGGGTCTGGCCTTTCGATCTAATCTTGTTCTCGCGACCGGCCCAGCGCTGATAAATTCTTTATGTGGGGCAATATAGAATTGGCCGTCCGGGCTCACGGGCCCATGCAAAATTGGCCGTCCGGGCTCCCGGCTAACAGCAGTAGTAACGGCAGCAGCAACGACAGCAGCAACCAAACAACAGCGACAGAAGGAGCAACAGCAGCAGCAGCAGCTGCGGCGGCGGCGGCAGCAGCAGCAGCAGCAGCAGCAACAACCACAATCGCAAGCACAACCGCAATCACAACCACAAGCGCAGCAGCAGCGTCAGCAGCAACATCACCAACTACTTCGACGACAACAGCAGCTGAGCAAAAACAGCGCATTTGTCATTCATTCTAGGGTTCTTAGGACTTACCTCTCTGTTTCCGATTCCAAACCCAAGAGGCCCTGACAACCCTTAGGGATTTGCTTTGCTCCTCCTGCCAACTTTTCGAGTTACTTCACCCGCCAACTTCTCCTGCCAAGTTTTCGAGTGTTGCTTCACTTGCCAACTTCTCCTGCAAACTTGTCGAGTGTTGCTTCACCTGCCGGCCAACTTTTCGAGAACTTCTTCTCTTGCCTTCGTCTCTTGCCAACTTTTCAAGTAACGCCTGTCAACAACTGCTGCCAACTTTTCAGGTGATACTTCACTATCCAAAAACGAAGGCTAGTTTGTCTTTTGCCCTTGCTCATCTTGAGTTTTGACTTTGCCTTTTTCGGCGGCGGGTAGGCTGGATGCGGAGAGCGTGCGCGTCGAGCGCTCTCGCTGTGGCGGCGTGCGAATGTGGGTTGATCTCGGCAAACCCTCTGCGGAGATTGCTGGTCAGATCTCAGCAGCTTCGCTTGAGTGAAATTGTTGCGTTTTGTTGCCCATCAGACGGCGGAGGCCGTCTAGGTTTTTTTCTTTTTTTTCTTGTTTTTCCGGGGGGGTTCCGGGGCTCTGTGCTTCTTGGTTGCTGGCAGGCAAATGCTCTGCAGCTCCATTTGGCCTTCCCTCGAGCCGCCTTGTTGCTGAGGCGTTCACGGACAGCTCTTCTGGTGGGGCCTTGTATACGCGGCTGACAACATACAGTGGGAGCGAGATTTTTCAGGACGGTTGGTTGCAACATGTGTTGAAATTACCATTCCGCTTTACATGAAGGTCGTCCAACAAAGGGTCCAAAAAAGGCGCATGAAAACCAATAGCGACCAACACGTGGTTCAAGCCAGGTGTTGATTCGCCTTTGTTTTCAATCAAGAATCAAATAGGTATTAAACTGGGATGCACCTGGTTTAAAAAGGGTCGCTAGCGAGGACAACATGGGTGGAAGCTGGCCTCTTGGAAAGCAATCCGAGCGATCGATATTTCGCTTCTTGACAGTCACTTCCTCAACACCTCAGGCAAAAGCTCACCCATGGTCAAGGGCGCCCTGAAATGGGGCCAGTTTCACAGAACAAAAGGCCTCCCCTCATTGCGGCGCAAACGTCGTGCTCGGTCCGCTGGGCGCATGCTCGCTCGCACAAGGGGGCATAGCCTGAGGTCCAACAGCGGACTCATCCACTGGGAGTGCGGGTCCTGGCGGCCTCGGAGCAACTTCATCTGCGGGTGCCTGAGCCTTCAGTCAGGAGTCAGGGACTGGACAGGGGATGTGGCAAATAGAAGCTGGGATGGCCTGCAAAAATGGGTTTTCGGGGCCTTGCGGGTACACCACCCGAAATTCTTCCATCTGCCAAAAGGGTTCCGTAACAAACTCGGTTGATTTGAATCATTCGCATGCTTGTGGGCCCATTCACACCCAAGGGTGCTTTTTGTAATGAGCCACAAACTCGTTGCGAATAGAACCTTTGCAACTGCGATGATCCGGGTACGACCATTTGGGCGGAGCAAGGACGACTATGGCAAATCCCACATGAGATGCTCAAAATTACGAAGCTTTCCCCTAGATGACATGGGCAATTTGCCCCACCCCTCGTCTTTGCCCGGGAAATTTGCAGCTCCCATGTGCCCAAGCATAGACTATTCGACAGACCGAAGCTCACATGTTCCGCTCCAGAAACCTTCCATCCCTTGCCATCAGCCCTTTGAGATTTGCTTGAGATGCCAAACTGGTGAAATCAAGCATGGCCCCCGCAAGTATACATCTTTTGGATTTGTATCCCTCGTCACTTACCTACTGGGGGTTGTGCCAGGTTGCCCTTTTTTGATCAACCGAGTAAGTGACCGATCAAATTGATCCAATCATCAGGCATTCTCACTCACCTTCACAACTAGCGCCTGCTTGAATGGCTCGTTTCAAGGATCTTAATGGACATGGGCTGCACTTTGCCATGGGGGGTTTGGATCGGGGCCATGGGTCTCGGAGCGGTGCCGCCAGGTATGGATGGGGCACCTCATGCAAGTTGCAGTTCAAGCACACTCAGTCGGTCAACGCGACTCGGCCGAGCGGCTGAACTTTTGTTTCTATGGTACCCGAATTCCCCATGCCGAACAGCCCCGCAATACGTACGGGATATTTTGTGTGTCTTTTTCCGGGGACCCTCCAAAATGGTGGTGTTGTTCTTGCTTTCAGGCAAAAACACACCAAACAACCGGGTACGCAATGCCCCACAATTTTCCAGTACCCCGTTTCCCCCTGGGAGAAAGTGTGGAGCAGGGGCCATCCCTTGGTTGAAGTCGGCCTTGGCTTTCGACTGGACCTCATTTTTGTGCCACAAAAGAAGCACCGCAAGCACTGTCGCCTGAAACCCCTTGCTGAACCACAGATGGTTCTGGCCCTATATGGGTGTTTCTCTTGAGGGTACCCACTTTTTGTGTTTTAAAAGAGAAACTAAGAGGGAGCACCACCATTTTGGGGGGTGCGCCAAACAAGAGACACTCATGTAAGCGCCTGTTAGTTGTAGATGTTCATGTAGGCCTTGTTGCAACCTTATAAATCCAGCTAGTCTAATACTCACGTAGAGTGCCCGTTTCCAATTTTTGGTTTGAAGCACGTCGGACATTGGGTTCTCCCCCTCCCCCCACGTGATGTCACAGAGGCTCATTCTCCTCAAGCGCACTGGGCGCATCTTTAAATTCGAAGCTTCAAGACACGTGGTGTTTTCACACCCACAAAGGGCATCATTCCACGAGACCCTGTTCTTGTCCCACAGCCAAGCCTGCTTGCCTGCTTGGCTGCGGCTTCGTATTCGAAGACGCTGGGGTTAGGCCAACCCAACATCTACAGACCGCAAGGCCACACCGGCCCAGGGCGCGCCTCTGTTTTGTGCCCCCCCCCTTTTCAGGCCTCCGGAAATTCCTTCTAGTGGTTGAAAACTGGTTCCTGAAGGTGAGTTTCCTTTAGTAGGGGTGATGCTTTGGGGGAAACATAGGGAACCCAGCTTTAGTATTTTATGATCCCGGGGAAGATGTGCAACAAACCAGGGCATGGCCAAAGCTGCGTGTAAGGTCTTGGTTGGCGTGAGGTGACCATGCACTGAAAAGCTGCACTTGGGGAGTTCACAGATCCCAGATACTGGGAATTGTGATCTGGAGTAGCGGGACTGTTGTGGAAGTCGGATATGGCAGGGGTCCAACTCTATTTATAGCCTGGGGGTGCGGTTTTTCAGTTTCTACAAAGGAGGCCTGCGTCTGCATGGCTCTCTTTTTGTTGTTCTTTTTTGGTCGTTCCAGAAGTGTTCATATCACAAATGCGCATCTGATGTCGCAACAACCTCCAGGGCCTCACTCATTTCGTCATGTTCTTTACAGTAATCGAATATTTTCACAGTGCCTCGGGTGCGTCTCGCATTTGTTGTCCAAACAGCTGTGAGGTAGTGATTTGGTACGTGAACATCGAGTTCCAGAATCAGGACAGAGTTGCAAGCCTGGCCAGAAGTATCGTTGTCCCGGATGGATGAACCCCTGGTCGATTGGTAGGGGGTGTCCCCAATTGAAGAGGGGGGGGAAACGCCCTGCTGTTCATCTGCAAAGTCTGGATCAATCGGCGCGTGTCGGACTTGCCCGAACGGCTCAAGTTCCGGTTTTGAGGTGAACGGTACCCTTTTTGGGCTGGGTTTTCAGAAGCGAAAGGGAGGCACAAAGGGGGTTTTGGTTGTTCAAACGCAAACACCCTCACAATGTTTTCGGCGATTGCTTGCGCCCCTGCTTGAAGAGGGCAAAATCCAGGGAACCCACAGCAAGATGGTCCAAAGATGGACATCAATTCAGGCATCTTGAATGCCCCCCAAACCCCCAAACCTCCAAACCCCCCCAACCCCCCAACCCCCTCAACCCCCAACCCCTCCAACCCAGTGCCCAAAACGCTAATTCTAGGCACTGTGACCCTGAGCGGCACCAGAGCGGCTTGAGAGGAGCAAAGCCTTGCTCTTTTGAAGTGCTCACTGTAGTTCAAGTAAGAAAACAGAGCAAACTTTCAAGGGATCGGGCGAACTAGTCAGTTTATGATCACAATATGATGTCTCATTTTTCCTCATTCCGCTTTAGTCATTCATTGGCCACAGGGGTGTGCTTCGATTCAATTGCGGGTTCCCTTGAACCAGGTCACTAGACAAAATACCTCGGTGTTTCGGAGGGGGCAACAATGTCCGACAGTCACACTGGAATCCGCAACATCGTTAGATCACTGACAATTTCGTTGGATAGGCGACAGTGCAGGACTTTTCTTCAGCATTTGTTCGCGGAGCGAATGCACTTGAGGGGCTGTGCTTCTCATTTGGGCCGACGCTCCGATAGGTCCGATGACCGGCCTGCTTGACCTTGCCACGGAGTCATTTTGGGCAGGCTGTGCTTTCAATCAACTGACGCTTGTGTGCGGTTTGTGCAATGTGTTGTCTACCCACAGCTGCCTGCACGAGCCCAAACAGTGTTTCGAAGAAGACCTCGTACCTTTTAGGCTCCCTGGTTCAGGGTTCTAGTAAGGCCAGAGTATGAGCAACGATCAGTAGGTACGGTCATCGGTGGATGACATAGAACACACGAGGTCTAACATACACCAAAATCCTAGGGCGACGCAATGCATTTCTGACCGTGTGGGGGGTGGGTGTTTTTGAACTGGTGAGGTGTTCAAATGCACAGATTCCTGTTTCAACCGTTTCCCTGCTGCTTCCAAATCACGCTTTTGGAGCTTGCGGAACTGAATTTCGGTCGCGAATTTTGATGGTTGAGAAGCATGAGCGTGTGTCAATTCAGGGTACCCCAAGCTCTGTGGTTTCCCTTTTAGTGTCCCTCTGCTCACAGGGGTACCCCTTCTCCCACTAACATGGCTGACAAAAAAGTCCCTCCAAGTGGAAGCTGACACGTCAGTGGGAGGAAGCCTCCAGCCCATCGGCTCAGGACCCGCTGGTTCAGACGGCCTACATCGGACGGCTTCAGCTGGATGTCTCCTCCTGGCTCCCCGCCAACCCGGGAAGCTGGCAGCGGATCAGCCAGCACACTGCGCCTGGGGCTCTCAACTTGTGTTCTCATGGGAGGTGGGTGTATTTTTGTTGGTTGGTGTTTTTGTTGCTTGGGGTTGGCCTTGCCTTGGCTTTTTAACGGGAGCCCAAAAGGAAAGCCAAGCGTTGTGCAGGTCCCCCTATGTTGACACGTGCCCAACTTTGCTCTGGGGTTCTTTTGAGCATCTTTCAGTCCGGAAATGTTTTTGGGTCCGAGAGTCGAGTGGTTCTGGTTCTGGTGATGGACCTGAGGGAAAATTTCAGGATCGGGTTTCCTTTTTTTGGTTACCCCCCATAGTCGATTTCCTCTACCTTGGGGTAACCAAAAAATGGAACGCAAGATAGGAGAGCGACAGCCTGGTTTCTCTTGGTCCCTAACTCAGATATGTGGCTTCAGTTTTCCCAGATTTCACCAGGTACGTTATTTTGTGGGCCCCACAAGGAAGTTTGTTGATGGGAAGTGGGGTACTTTTGAAGTTCCCCGATTAGAATTTGCAGGGGTCGAGGGTTTGCGTTGAAGTCTAAGTTGGGGGTTTGCTCAGAAAGGAAAAATGAATCTAGCAAAGTGTTCCCGCATTCCTTCAACCGTTGTTCTTTCAGTTCCCCCTGTGTGTTGATCCCTCAACTTCAACCGAATGGGGAAGCTAACCCTAGAAGAGTGTCTGACAAGGACGCCTTGGCAGCGGGGCCGGGGACCATTAAAACCCCTCCGCGCCACTCCGCGCCCCTCCGCGCCCCTCCGCGCCCCTCCGCGCCCCTCCGCGCCCCTCCGCGCCCCTCCGCGCCCCTCCGCGCCCCTCCCCTCCACGCCCCTCCGCGGGCCTCCGCGCCCCTCCGCGCCTCCGCGCCCCTCCGCGCCCCTCCGCGCGCCTCCGCCGCGCCCCTCCGCACCCCTCCGCACCCCTCCGCGCCCCTCCGCGCCCCTCCGCGCCCCTCCGCGCCCCTCCGCGCGCCTCCGCGCGCCTCCGCGCGCCTCGCCCGCCGAGGGCCTGGCCGTGAAATCCGCGGACTACCCCACGGCCACGGAGGTGCGCACCTGCGTCAGCTTCGTGGACGAAAGCGCGGGCGGCTCTTTGAAGGCGCCTGGGTTGCGGTTTTTCGGTTCGTGCGGAGTGACGCCATGCGTTGTTTCCTTTGGGGGAGTGCGCCCAAAAGAAATGGGAGGGGGGGGGGACCCTGAGAAGAAGGGCTTTGTGGATCTTTGTTGCATCTTGCCAAGGGATGTTAGAACAACTTTTTGCCAACTAATTACTGGGTTTTCCGAATGAAACCACTAAAGGCTAAACCTTTGGCAGGGGAGCAGAAAGCAACCGAGTTTCGGTTCGCGCGGAGAGACGCCACTCGCGTGCCTTTTGCGGCGTGCCTTTTGCAGAGCGAGTCAGTTCGCAATGAGCCCTTGGAACATGTAGATGCGGATGGGACACCATGTCCATTTCGTTGATAGGATAGATGACACCCTGTAAATGATTGATTAGTGACCTGGTTTCCTTGAATCTTGGCTCCCACTTGAAATCGAAAGGGATTTTGTACGTTTGGAAGCCCGGTTGTTGGTTCGCAACGAAGCAAGCGATTGGTTGGTCCGAGAAGTTTGGTGGCATTTCCAGGTTGCATTTTGAGGGTGGGTGGTTTGGGTGGGGTTGGATTTTATTGAGTTGGGTTGGGTTGGAGGGTCTTTCCTTCCACACCAGCAAATCCAAGACCTTGATAGTACTGCCCACACCCAAGAGTTACTTGTGCCATGTGGAGATTTGGGTGTCCCATGGTCCAAGAAACCGGGGTGCACATTTTCAACTCCCCAAGCTTTGCGAGGGACTGTGGAGGGGGATGCTTGGTCCAAGAGAAAATTTGTTGCATTCGACGGTGACAGGTTGGTTGGGAGGCTGGGTGAGTTGGCTGGGCCGCAAAGAGCTGTTTTTTTCTTTTTTCCTTTTGCGTGTCTGTTTGTTGGGCCTTACTCGTTTGGGTTGGTTCTAAAGGACTCCAAAAGAGACCAATCTTTGAACAACTGTTCCAAAGTTCGTAGTTCTTTCTCAAGGGAATCCAAAGGAAATGGTCAAGCAATTGTGATGAGTAAAGTAGTCTTGGTGGGATGGGAATCAACCGCCAAACAAGAGTAAGGGATGTCTTCCTGGTTGTCTACTGGCTTCATTGCTTCATATTCCCAGACCTGCATGTTTTTGACACTTCCGTGTTGTTTGTCTGCTTTTTTCTTGTTTCTTTTTCCCCAACAACTGAAAGTGATGGGGTCTCAGCCCCGATAGGCTCCGGGGTGGTTCGGGGTGGCTCCAAGGTAAGGTTTTGCAGGGGTCCGCGAGGGATTCCGCGAGGGTCCTGTGAGGGTTCTGCCAGGATTCTGTACTTTTTCAGCAGCAAGAGCTTGGGTTTCTGCTTTAGCAGGGGTCCTCAAAACAGAGGTCTGGGCAAGGGCTCCGATCGTGTATTTTGAGGTGAATGGTACCCTTTTGAGGATGGGTTTTTCACAATTT